CGCGATATAGCATAAAATGTTTTAATTTCGATAATTCTCAAGCTTTTATATCATATTCAGAATTTCATTAAAAAAAAAAATGCATTGTAAATGTCGGAAAGAAATTTTATCTATATAAATATATTTAACCTTAGCATTCGATAAAACATTGAATTACAAGTTTCTACCGCCTTATCATTCCTCCAATTTTGAACATAATTTTTAACACAGTTGGCATATATAGGTTTTACTAACTCGAACTGAAAATTCAACTATCTGCTCAAAAAAATCGAATACTAGATACTGCAACCGCATGTGCAACGCGAACATAGCTATATCTCTACGTACGTATGTACGTACGTATATTAACTGTTAAAGTATTTTTACAAAAATTTCTTAAACGTTAAAAAATTTCTAAAAAAAATTATGTAAGATGTTTTGAATATAAAAGGTTTAAGCAAAATTTTATATAGTTATACAGAAGTTATGATTAATTTTATCTAGGTAATTGTAAAAAGAGGAAGGAAAAGCAGATTTTTAACAGCCGTCCTATATTGTCTAGTGTGTTGAAATGCATCTAGTATAATCCAGGTCTGCTTCTTCCCGCGTTGCGAATGTAAAATTTCAAATTATATAATATAATTAGCAATTTTACTTTGTATTCACAACGCAGGAAGCTCTCATTATGCAGGCCCGGATTACACTCAGCATACTAAACAAGGTAGGGCAACTGTTTAAAAATCAAAAGACCTCTGCTGAAAAGAAGACCATATCAATATTTAGTCGAGAAAACCTCAAAAAGTAATTTAGGCTTCAAAAGGGTTGACAATAAGAAAAAAGGGTCAATTGTCTATCAAGTCAATATAAATAGCCAATTTTACCATTTTAAGCTAATCAACTAAGATAAAATCATATGAAGTATGTGCTTCAGGCGTATCTACATATTTCTCGGAATTTTTCCGGAATTCAACTTCGGAAACAATGACAAGTATTTTTAATATATTAATCCAAGGTAAATATACATGTTTTGTTGAAGAAAAAAAAAAAACAAAAAAACAAAAATGAAAACATCTTCTAAGGTCACAATTACGATTTTAATCTTTATTTTATGCCAATTTGTTATTAGCTTTCCTATCTCTCAAAAACCAAACAAAGTATTTACCATACAACTCAAAGACGATGTTACTGTTGTATTTACCGGTCACAATGAAGTTAATGAAGAACTTTCAGACGTTTATATGACTACAGTAGAACATCCAAATGTCGAAATATCTGAAAACCAATCTCCTGAAGTTAAATTTTCTGAAATCCAAATTCCTGAAGTTAAATTTCCTGAAGTCAAATTTCCTGAAATCCAATTTCCTTCCCTCGAACCAATTTTTGAAAAAATTCGGGAATTCTTTGAATCAATAGTTAACTTTATATCCGAACATTATATCATTATTATTGTTGTAATAGCCATAATTATTATATCTATTATCAGTCCTTGGATCATTCTTGGACTTCTCCGATTGGTGGGATTTGGTGCTATAGGAATAGTTAAAGGAAGTTTTGTAGCCTTAGCTCAGTCCGCTCGTGTTTTGCCCACGCTCGGATTTGGTGCTGCGGGAATAATTAAAGGAAGTTTGGTAGCCATATGTCAGTCTATTGCTGCTATAGGTCCAGCTGGATTAAAATTATTACCTGTGGTGGTAATGGCGATATTATTCATGATATTATTTTTTTATCTACGGACATCGGCAAATGAGAACCAGTAAATCTAATAATTGAACAAAATGGCATCATTGGTAAAGTGTGGCGGTGGATATGATATACGTATTGATATGTAAAATGTAAAATATAAATTATCGTTATGTATTTAAATATATTATTATAAATAAAGATTACTGTAATTTCTGACTAGTGTATCTGAATATTTACAACGGTCTCCAGTGTTTTTGTGGAGATATAATAAAGTAATCGTTGGATCATATTTAGTATAACTTGGTGAACTTTAGTATAGGTGTATAATGGGCAATTATACGATACCGTATAATAAAAATGGTATAATAACCGTATAATTGATATAGTATAATTAATAAAATATCGTATAATTGGTATACGTAGTATAATTAATACGTAAAATATCGATATCGTATAAATTGGTATAATATTTTAGTGTAACAGAGTTAACCAATAGAAATCTAGATGTAATTTTTCATAGGAATGAGTGAGCACGTGACAAATTATGTGTACTTCTAGGTATTTATACCAAAATTTATTATACCGTATAATTTCCATCCCTATATAGGTGACAATGATTATTAATCATTAGAGT